GCACAGATTCTCCGTCATTAGACCGTAGCCAAATTCCGGCGCTAGATCTAAGCCAAATTCCGGCGCGCACTGCGCCGCCGAGTAGATCGCGGGGAACCCCGGGTCGGGCCCTACCCATTTCCCCATGGCGAACAGCTTGGAGGAGTTCTCCACCACATACTGCACCGTGTCGTTGAGAAGGGCGGTGAGGGCCCGGTCGTAGCCCACGACGTCGCTGCTGGTGATATTTTGAGCGCTCATGGAAGATACCACGCCGGAGTTGCCGGTGGGGTCGTCGAGGAAGTCGTGGTCGGCTAGGCGGACGTAGCAGTGGTTGTAGCAGAGGGCCACGTCCCTGCTGCGGTTGCAGGCTGTGGCCGCGTCCCGACCGGCACCTGTGACGCAGCCGTAGCACTCGTCGGCGGTGACGTCGCCGCGGCAGAGAACCAGGGCCCAGGCAGTGTCCGGCGCGGCGCCGAGGGTGCCGGAGGCGAATAGGTAGGACGAGGAGGAGGCGTTGGGGCGAAGGGTGCCGAGGAGGAGGTCTAGCAGGTTGGTCTCGTATGTGCTGCCTGCCGAGTAGTTGCCTTTGCCACAGAAAGACAACGGTTGTCCTGCGCCTGCGGCGAGAGGAATTAGCACGAGGAGCAGGAGAGCGTGAATGATAATCATGGAGGAAGAGTAGGCGCCGGGCATGTGGCAGGTGTGAAGGCTGAAGAGAGGAGGAGGAAGCAAGTTGGATCCCAAGCTAGCTTTCAAGGAGTAATTCACCGCGTGAAGTGAAGACTCAAGAGAGGAAGACTTGCAAGTTGCATGCAACGTCATGTTGGGACCACTCCTTTCAAATATTAGTACTCCTTGTCATCCTCGTCGTCGGCCTCCTCCTCCTCCTATTTTCAGTATTGTTGTTGTTATTGCTATTGTTGTTGTCGTTGTCGTTGTTGTTGTTGTTGTTGTTGTTGTTGTTGTTGTTGTTGTTGTTGTTACATGGATAAAAAAGTGAGCGGCCACATTATTCAAACTTGCAACGTCACTGTGGGTCCTCAATAGTTCGGCTGTTAAAGTTGATCTTTCAACAAACCATCCTCAATAGTTGTTTACATGTAGACCACGCTGTTCAAAGCTAGCTAGGTTAAATATCAGTGTACTTAACAGATTCTTTAACAAGATTAACAACTTGATGCGCTGAAATGTTGACATAAAATGAACGAATACATATGTACGGTAGTTGCCCACATTTTACTTAATAAGGTGGCTGGTATCATCTTAATTTCATGGCAATGTGGGTCATAACATTTTAGACGGGGCTTCAAAATAAGAATTGTGAAAACATGAGCCGCTTGTTGTCCCGGTATATTCGGTTCATGCCCCACCATTCCGATTCCGGGTATCAAGGCAGAGATAGCTGTACCATGGTCCACATGAAGTATATATTGACTTAAACTGGAGCAGTCCGTTGATAACCCCTATCTACTTCTCTTGTCCATTCATATACACCAGTCAGCATGCATTGTCGTGCAGGAGGCTAGACAATTATCAATACACGAGGTCTCTTCCAAGAAAACACGAGGGCAACCGAGATGATTATTCCTGTCCAAAGACGTGTATACAATTGGAAGCAGCCGTAGGTCTCTTCCCAGAAATTGCACTGTAGAAAATGTACGGTTTCCGTAGTTTGTTGCTGTGACGGCCGTCCAGTGTCATTATTAATTTAGACAATGACAATAGTCCTTGAATTATTTTCTCACAAAATCTTGTCCTGTCAAATAATTATCCATATCACAGATTTGCAACAGGAAAATAGTTAGAGATGGTCATTTATATTACAATACCATGCCACACAGTGCTAAAAGTCTCAAGTAGGCTTCTCACAAGCTTGCCAAATTTATTACACATCCTAATACTTGAGTCCAACTAGTAATACTACCTAGATGGCAATCAGATAGTTCCTGAGTTACATAGCTTTAGACCATAAGATACTTAATATCCCAACCCGCATATGTGGCATTCAGACGATACATACCACTTGACGGATCCCCATTTAAGTCCCCTGTGTACCTGTGTAGTAACCATCACCATTGTTACCTCACTTGGTCCAATAGGAATTTCATACAAGCTTTGTTCTAAGTTCTTAGATTTTTTGATGTTCAAGTTCTCAGAATTAGTAAATTAATTGCCCTCATGTGTGTGTGTTGAACAAGTTCACCCCTGTACAAGATCTTGATGTGCTACTGCTGCTGCTACTGCGAGTTAGCATAAATATCTTGGAACATTTTATTTTACTTGCTTAAGGAATTATCCATGCTTTCAAGATCTGGGATAGATAATACTACTGTGTTTTGTGTGTACCTGTGAATAACTAGGGGCTTCTGTATGTGCATACGGGCTAGGCTTCTTTGTGGGTGTACTAAATAATGGATAAAGAAGAAGACACATTTGCTTGTCGAAGATGTTTTTCTTCTGGTCTAATCTTGATGTCTTGCTGCTGCTCCTACCTTCAGTCTTCACTATAGTAGACTAGCTTCTTCCTCCAACCTCTCCCCTAAGGTTTGGTGAGAGGGGCCTCAAGTCACCATCCTTAGTGATTGCTTTTGGATCTTTGAATGTGCTGATGATTAGAAGAGAGCTTAGTATGGCTATTTGGGAGAAGAATGGAGATGAGCGACACCTTGCCAATCCTTACTCTGTGCACGACATTTAAATTGGGACGGAGGGCGTATTTATTTTCCGATAGCCATTTTTCGTATATATTTTGAGTTAAAAGCAGAAAACCACCACATTTACGGTTAGGTTTGCAGAAAACCACCTAGTCGCTTTTTTTTTGCAGAAGCCACCGCGCTTCTAATGCACTTTTTAGAAAAAGCACTGATCAACTCATTTGGCTCATTTAAGAGCGTTTCTGATAGTGGGACTAGATCGTCATAGCTGACTTAGCAAACTCTTTGACATAGACACCCCTCAATTACATTAAAAATGCAATCAGCCCCTCCCCCTCCACGGTATAGAACTGCAGCAGGCACCCATGGAGAGGGGTGGCACCGTCGGTATCTCCTCGCTGCGCCATCGACCATGCTCCGGCGCGCCACCGCACCCACTCCCTCTCCTCCTCCCCACTACATTTTCCTTGATCCCAAGCCCCCTCTCACTGTCATCTCTCTTCTCTGGATGCAAGGGTTACCGCGCCAGAGCCGGAGCCGCCTTTGTCACAAGGAAGAGCCTCCGACCCGTCGGAGGCTCTTCCCAACCAGATCCTACTCCCAGACATTTTGCGCCTCGCCCCGACCAGATCCTACTTGCTCCTCCTCCGTCGGCTTCGTTCCCATCAGCCTCCCCCTACCTCGGCAACATGTGGAGCAGCAACAACAACGGTGGTGGTCTGGTCCGGTGAGCACGACGGACGACTACAGGAGGAGCTCCAGGAGGGCGTCAGGGCACCGACTTGGTGAACGGTGGTGGCTGGCTAGACGAATGATGGCGGTAGTATGCTGGCCGAGCTAGGCCCCGTGGCGGCTCCTCGTTGACACACTGGTGGGCTGAAGGCTCTTCTTTGCCGACGACGGCGGCACCAACTTCGGCGGGTCACCTTGACATCCTCAAGGAGCACCGCGGTGAAGGCCTCGCCAGATTTTGTGCCCGGCTTCGGCACGGCCGCGCTTAACATAAGGCCAGGGTGTATGCCGCGCACTCCTACTCGTTCGCCTTCAGGGGATGGGGTTTGGATTGTATTTCCGTGTTAGATCCAGGGGTGTGTGTCTGAATGTATTTTTCTAATTCAGCTCCTTACAATCCGGCTCCACTTGTCAAAAAGTGATCAAATGGGTAAAATTACTTGATCAGTGCTTTTTGTCAAAAGTTTACTAGAAACACAATGGCTTTTCAAAAAAAAAATAGCGACCTGGTTGTTTTCTACAAACCTAACCACAAATGTGATGGTTTTCTGAAATTAACTCTATATATTTTATATTTAGTAACCCAACAACCTCAGTTTGCTATTATGGTGGATGAAGATCATATTGCATCACTAATCTTTTTCATATACATTTTTTTGTGATTGTCAATTAAGATTACTTGCTTTCTTGCAAGAAATAGAGAAGAAAGAAAGCGGAAGATGAAATGTCAGCAATCAGATGACAGCATTTATGTATATCTAACCTGATGTACCTAGCAGCGTGGTAGGTGGTGTGCCGGCCCCCAATATTAGTAGCAACTACTCCCTTCGTTCCTAAATACTTGTCTTTCTAGACATTTCAAATGACTACTACATACGGATGTATGTAGACATATTTTAGAGTGTAGATTCACTCATTTTGCTCCGTATGTAGTTATTTGTTGAAATGCCTAGAAAGACAAGTATTTAGGAACGGAGGGAGTAGCAAGTAGGGTAAATATTTTGATATGCCGGATAAAATATGTTATAACAACAGCCAGACGGCATGACTGATCTAAATCCAGTTTGATGTAGCAAGTAGGGTAATATCATATCTAATTGGATGAGCTCCTACACTATTAGTATTCATTCTCTTGGCTCTTGGGGAAGATACATTGACTGCGTCTGTTGCAGGCGGGAGCAAGTAATGTTGAAATCAACCGACTGGCCCCCTACCTCTTTCTGCTATGTTATTTGGACCTTAACATTGGCCTAGCCTGCCGTATGGCATCGTGAGCCATTGAGAGGAATTCCCTCGTCAAGTAGTGACCCGTAGTCAAGTAGCTTGAAGTGGACGTTTGAAATCAACCGGGAAGACCAACAATATTTTTTTCTACTCCTTCCGTCTAAAAATACTTGTCATCAAAATGGATAAAAAAATGTATCTAAAACTAAAATACGTCTAGATAACACCGAATGGAGGGATTACTATCTCTATAAATTAATATAAGACGTTTTAGATCTCTAAAAAAAGGACATAAGAGATCGAAATCGATTGCATTGCTTGTACAAGTAGCATCACCAAGTGTGGGTACGTCTAGTTACCTACTCATTCATACTATATAACAGCAAGCTCAAGTTGCAGCAAGAGAAGATGGTCCTCCTCCTTCCCCAAAGGCCAACGCCAAAATCAAAGCTCCTCATGCCAACCGTAGTACCAGTACTGATGATGGCACTGCTGTTCCTCCTCGTACGAGGAGCAGTGGTCGCCGGTGGCCCAGGAGTCCTGCCTGGCTGCCCAGAAGCCTGCGGCAGCATCGCCATCCCCTACCCTTTCGGTATCGGCCTAGGCTGCTCCCGCCTGGGCTTCAACCTCACCTGCGACGAGACGCAAGATCCACCCACACTCTTCATGGGCGACAGCGTGGAAGTGGACGCCATCTCCCTGGCGGACGGCACGGTGCGAGTCCGGACCCTGATCATGGACGGCTCCTTCTCTGTGAACCTGACCGCCCTAGCGGCGGCGGGCGTCGGGAAGCCATCTCTCAACTCCAGTGGCTTGTGGTCCGGTGGGCTAACGGGCACCGGCGTGCAGCAGCTCGCCGTGTCCACCCGGCACAATGTCTTCGTGGCCATCGGATGTCACTTCATCGCCCACCTCGTTGGCGATTCCGACACTGCGACAACTGGCAGAGGAAGCAATGGGGTTCCCCATCCCATGTACTACGTCAGCGCATGCGCCGTGCTGTGTGAAACCGATGATCATTCATCCTGGGGCGACCCGTGCTCTGGCTTCGGATGCTGCCAGACGACCATCGGGCGGGGCTTACCCGCGTATGGGTTGTTGTTCAAGGATTTGGACCAGGCTAATGGTTCAGCTGTGGGCGCGTTCATATTCGATCGCGAGTGGTTCAGCGGGATTAATGTATCCGCATCCATGGACATCCCTGGCATGCGGTGGAAGGATGTCCATGCCTACGTCCATGGAGATGGTATATATCCGCGTCCCAAGGTGCCCACCGTGCTGGAATGGTGGCTGGACGTAGAAAGAGACCGTGACTTGCTCGTGTTCGATGAACCCCTTTCAGGTCAGAGATGCATAAGCTTGAACAGCTTGGCTTTCGACGTTTCCTATGGCTCAGGCACAGGGTACATCCTAAGGTGCCACTGCTCCGATGGATACCAAGGCAACCCTTACCTTGTTGATGGATGCCAAGGTACCACCACTCGCCTCTCTTTCTTAATTCTTATCCATCACCCACTTAGTTAATTCTTTGTTATTGTCCACTCTTCCACATCATTTAGGGGTTTAGGTGAATTTACTCTTATATGCAGTTTAACATAGTATTAACACACCCGCGAAAAATACATAGTACTAACACATACGTTGTCCATATAAAATTAAAAATTGAATACTCATGGCCGGCCTATATCGATTGCACGTCTAATAAAAAACCGGACGAATCTTGAGGTAAGCTATCAAGTGGTGCTCATCTTCCTCCGCTTGCTTAGACTTTGGGTTGGGGTCATCTTATTTTTGCTGGTGAAATTTAATATACTTCGGTACCAAGTACATAATCTTTACCAAATATTGAAGGAAGGAAGGTTTCATTGTTAGTCACCCTTCCCCTCCGTAGGCAGCACATTTCAATTTTTTTCCTGCATCGCGTCGTCCCCGCACGCAACACATTTCATAATTCCTTTTTTACTGCATCGTGTTGCGGTTCCATCCCATCAATGGACCAATCAAGTCGGCCAGTTTTTAAACCCGATGAAATATGAGAGTGGTTGGACGCCACATTGGACCTCCACCAGCACAACGAAGCGGCTGAACCAGTGACTTGCACCGGCTGGGCCTCCACTAGTGCAGTGAAGTGGTTCAACATGTCACTCATGCTAGTTTGGCCTCCACCAGCGTAGTGGTGGAGAGAAATAGCATGCGTCGAGGTATCTGAAACAAAAAGAACGTGTGTCGGGGCTCATTTCTGTCCTCCCCTTCTTGATCCTCCTTTCCCTCTCTCCTTCAGCATCGCCAGATCCATCCTGGCTGGAGGGCGGGGGGAGGAGGCCAGGTAGAAGATGTCCAGGGGTAGTAGTAGTTGTTTGAGGTTTTGGCCTAGATTTGCCACTACGAGCATTGGCGCTATGCCGTTTGGGTCTTCGTCGGTGGAGTTTGTGAACCGCTCATGGCACAGGGTGGTCGTCTTCCACCTTGTCGTCTTGCTCCCGTGGGTGGAGCCGACGATGGCCGGGGGATTCGTTGTCGGCCCAGTGAATAACAAGGTTCTTGTGGCGGAGCGGTGTCTGGAGTTGCAGCCATGGCACAAGGAAAGAGAAGGGTGGAGCGTTGTGCTGTTCGGATTGATCCATCAGTCCTTGGGGTTTGATAGTTGTGTGGACATTCATGGGTCCATCTTATGACACTACATCAACCTCGGGCCTCATGACTTAAGATCAATCAACCAAGTCATTCCGATGAACCTCATTCAACCTCCATGGGGAGGCCCTTTCTTCCTTGCCTATTGATGGCTAGGAAGATTGCAGGGATGGTGGCAATTTCTCCCGCAAGGTTGTTGCTTGTAGGAGGACTTGATTGCTTTTTCCTATTTCTTTGGTGGTCCCTGTTTGCAGGAAGGGAGGATGCAGTTGTAATTTATTTTATTTGAGGGTCCCAATTAGGTGCTCCCAATTCATCACTCTTTTTTATTTGAGGGTCCCAATTAGGTGCTCCCAATTCATCACTCTCCCGCGAGGTTTGTAATGCATCAGAGCAACCATGAAATTCATCACTCTTTTTTATTTGCAAACTGCACCGCAAAGGTTTGCTTAATGAGCTGTGTCGATTTTAAAAAATTATACACCATGTCCTTACAAATTTGCAAAAAATAATTCCTCAAAAAATAATAAAAAGTGAACTCCTCTTTACATTTTTTTACAATGTGAACTCCTTTTGCTAGTGAACTTCGACACCTTTTTTTAATTGCCTTACAAACAAAGCAAAGTGCATTAATAAAAGAAGTGAACCTCTTGTGGGACCGCATCAAGTGAAAGTGGAATTTTTCCCATACGAGAAGTTAACGGCGAAAATATCCCACACAAAGTTGACTTTGTTTGACCAAAATGGACTCGCGAACCACATGCCTCGGTCGGGCGAACTGCATCAACTTAGTCTCCTGCCAGGTTCAAAAACAAAGTTAACTTAAAAAAAGTGACACTTTTTTCTCTCTGCTTGTTTGAGAGAACTGATTTGGAGATGCACCTCTAATAAACATGTGCTACCTCCATTTAAAAAAAAACATGTGCTGCCTCCAGACAAAGGATAAGCTCCTAAATGGCCCTAGCGAACTGCGAGCGTACTATAAGCAATCGTACGCTGCGCCTAGCGCGTGCCCCAACAGCAACCGTTCTAGCGCGCGCGCCATCGTCCCTGGCCCTAAGTCATAGTAAAAAAGTGGTAGAATGTGGTAATGGTTACTATATGTCATAGTTAAAAAGTGGTAAAACGTGGTAATGGTTACTATATGCTCACGCCTGCCGAAGCGAACAATCTATGTAATACCTTAAGAAACATAGTAATGAAGGCATGTCTATTACAATACAGATTTTGTACAAATATTAAATGACAGAAAACATCTATGGTAGTCAAAATAATCTTGTGATTTTGATTTACATACTTTTAAAATTCATTTCAGATTTTAATTTAAATGCTGAAACTGTAATGCTTATGCCAAATGGATCGTAATGTAGTTCTACTACCAGTAATTTGAGGATAGGTAGTAGTAACACAGTTACCGTCACTACAATTTCCATTAAATAAAAACAACTCTCACGCTAACAATCCCAACTCAAGAAAAATGTAAACCAATCACTAGAGGGCCATGCTTACTATTTTTTTAGTATTGACTAAACATACATTACCATGTGATCACTTTATTTTACGTTCAGAGGATCAGATGAATAGTGAGAGTTTCCTTACCACATATATGAATACCTATTACAACGGTTTATTAGGTAGTTCGTGCTTTGCCATGCAAGCTGTTCGGGAACATCGTTACCATGTATGCTGGTTTGTTTACTGTCATTAGCGAGAAGTGCTGCAGGACGGAGATGAGGTGCTTGGCTACGGTAACAAGAATTAATTTCATTACTATTTTTCATGCTGTGTTTTACTATCATTTGCACAGAGCATAGGACATGGGGTGGGGACGCGCAAAGCAGGGCAACTAGCGACCAGCGCGTACGATTAGGAAATCTGTGCGCTCGCTTAGTTTAGTGCCACTGTACGATTAGGAAACTTCAAACGTCATTTTTGTGGCATACAACACATAGAAATACTTATTAGTTAGTCAAATTGATGATCTAGAAGTACGTGCACTCCCTATACACCCGTACGGATGGAGTATCTTTGTATGGACTTTGAAATCAACGTCAGAAAGGGCCAAAGGGTGACGAACCAACTAGTAAGAACCTTAAGTGCATCTAAACTGTTTCTGCCTCCCTTTCTAGTTTGTGGTTTTCTCATGTACCATGAATTTAGTCTTTTCGTTCATCGTTGATGCTTCAACTGCACTTTGAACTTGTACCCGACAAACATTATTGTTTTCTTTATTTATGACATCCCTTTGCTATCGAGTCATCTTTTTTATTTTCTATCCTTTCAGATATCGACGAGTGCCAACAACCAGCTTATCCATGCGTGGACGGGACAACCTGCATCAATATGCCAGGGGCATACCTATGCCGAGAAAAGAAAGGTTTCATTAAGCTCTCAGGTACATGTGCATTTGCCGATTGACCTTTCTAAAATGAAGGATAGAACAAAATAAAAACAAATAAATCAAATACAGAATATTATGTGCTTCATGAACTAGTAAATCAAATGATTGTGGTTCAGATGATTTTTTACCTCCAAAATGATCTGATAAATATTCCAATATTTCTTTATCATGGCAGTTTGAGTAGTCACAAATATTCAGTTAAATTTGTTCAATTCATGTGGCATATATTGTATTATGAACCCTTAATCCATTATCTACAGGTTTAATTACCGTAGTTGCAATTAGTGGTGGTTTGTGGTTACTGCTTTCACTCTTGGGTGTTGCAAAAATCAACAATAAACTCAAGCAACAGAGAGTCAAGAAGTCAAGACAAAAAAATTTCAAGAAAAACCATGGGTTGCTTCTACAACAGTTAATCTCTTCAAACAAAGATATAGCCGAGAGAACAAAGCTTTTTAGCTTGGAAGAACTGGGGCAAGCAACCAACAAATTTCATCCTAATCGCATCCTTGGCGGTGGTGGTCATGGCACAGTGTACAAAGGCATCTTATTTGATCAACGTATTGTGGCCATCAAGAAGGCCAAAATTGTGGTTCAGAGCGAAATCGACCAATTCATCAATGAGGTTGTCATACTTTCCCAAACAAACCATAGGAATGTGGTGAAGCTCTTTGGTTGTTGCCTTGAGGCAGAAGTTCCTCTACTAGTATATGAGTTCGTATCGAATGGAACTCTCTCCTTCCATCTGCATGGACAAACTGAGAACCATCTGTCATGGCAAGATAGGTTGAGGATTGCATTGGAAACTGCAAGGTCCATTGCATATCTCCACTCTGCTGCCTCCATATCAGTATACCATAGAGATATCAAATGTGCAAACATACTACTTACCGATACTTTAACAGCAAAAGTATCGGATTTTGGAGCTTCAAGGTCACTCGCAATAAACGAGACAGGAATACTGACAGCAGTCCAAGGAACTTATGGTTACCTCGATCCTGAATACTACTACACTAGCCGACTCACGGAGAAGAGTGATGTTTACAGCTTCGGTGTTATCCTAGCAGAGCTACTAACAAGGGTGAAACCTGTTTTTTCTTCTCGTTCGTCAGAACAAACAAGCCTAGCATCATATTTTGTGTCACTTATAAGAGACAACCGCTTGTTAGATATTCTAGATTCAAAAATTGTTGAAGAGGGCGCGGTTGATGACGCCAAGATCATTGCAAGACTCGCAGAAGCATGCTTAAGTTTAAAAGGTGAAGAAAGGCCTACAATGAGGCAAGTGGAGACAACACTTGAAGATGTGCATAACTCAAAGGCCCATCTCAATTCTCAGACTACAAGGGTGAACCAAAATGTTGTAAATGATCTTTCATACAAGGGAATCAAAGCCAATGATGGAACTAGACTGTACAGCTTGGAAAAAGAGTTCATCCAATCATCTGAAATTCCTAGATGATTTTACTTATATGGTTAAGTTTTGTGGTCACTATTATTATTTTGGGAGCCATACTATGTAAATAATAAATTACGAACTCTGAGTTACAACCACGCATCATTTATGCTATATTTGGTTCAACTGTAGATTCTGAAAACGGTGTTGTGAGTTATGAACAGTAGGAAAGTAGCCATAAGTTGAGAACGTGGAAAATGTGAAAGTTGTTTGGTTGAAGCAATTGTACAAATTGATGTATGGGGTATCTGTCAATCGCCATCAAGGGCTTTTCCCTGAAATTTTGCTGTCTTACGGGGATCACATTTGTACAAATTGATTTTTTTGCCCGCTGTATTTGACCAGCTTCGCTACCGACGTTTCCTATGGCTCAGGCACAGGGTACATCCTAAGGTGAAGCTGCTCCGATGGATACCAAGGCAACCCTTACCTTGTTGATGGATGCAAAGGTACCACCATTCGCTCGCCTCTGTTTCTTATCCATCACCTACTTTGTTAGTTTCTTGTTATTCTGCCTTCACATTGTTGGTACTTCCTAATTGAACTGCTAAAACAACATATATTATGGTACAGAGGTAGTAGAATACATCGTCCACTTTTCCACACCATTTAGGGGTTTATACATGGGAATTTGCTCTTATATGCAGTTTAACATAATACTCCCTCTGGAAACAAATATAAGAGCGTTTAGAACATTATTTTAGTGATGTAAACGTTCTTACATTTCTTTACGGAGGGAGTACATTAATATTAACACAAAGAGATCTCGTATTCATGATCCGGTCAACAACACGTTGTCCATCCATTATAAAAAATTAAAAATTAATAGTCATGGCCGGCCTATATGATTCCACGTCTATTTAAGAACCGGACAAAACTTGAGGTAAGTTAAAGTGTTGCTCATCTTGAGTGTGTGCTTAGAGTTTGGGTTGCGGTCACCTGGTTGGTGCATGGAACCTAATATATATAGCTATGTGAGTACAACCACTTCACGAAGCTCGGCTTCGAAACCAAGTGGGGAAAACACCTGGGTCAATTGATAGCACATAACAAATCCAATAGAAGGGTGTGGCTAGCTCTCATCTAGATGAAAAATAATTATGTCCCATCTAACGCCCACACTGTTTGATTTTTGGCGGAGATTCATGGAGATTTTTTTTATTTCTTGTTTGATTAATCAAATAGCATAGGATAAATCATGGTCTCGAAACTTGTTCCATGTAGTCGATCAACTAAATGTATTATATTTGAATTAACAAAGCGACCAGGTTGTTTCATGTCTACTTCTTAAGTGCAATCAAAAGTCAATTCTATTTTATTTGAATTAACAAAGTGGTTTGTACATTATTTATAATCATATGTTCTAGGTGACTTAATTTAAAGACCGTAATTTAATTACCCCAGTACTGTTAAACATGATGTAGTGCCGTACATGTTGGGCATACTGGGGCGCATTGTAACATATCTTAACAGGAGTACTTGGGCCGTAGGTTAGGAGGTTAGAGGTGTAGTTTATCTTCTGTAACCATAATTCTATCTTTGTCTAGCTTGATCCCCAAGATGTAATCTCTTCTATAAGGTCTCAACTGCATGCGCTATCAGGGAGGTGTGCCCCTGCCTATAACACGTACGGGGTCCCCACTTGATGAGATAAGACGTTTTCGCTAAACACATAGAAAGAATTCAATAATTCACTTTCAGTATATCGGTATGTCTTCTAAGGAGGAAGCAAGTTGGATCCCTAGCTAGCTTTCAAGGAGTAATTCTCCGTGTGAAGACTCAAGAGAGGAAGACTTGCAAGTGGCATGCATTGTCATGTTGGAACCACTCCCTCTTTCAATTATTAGTACTTGTCGTTGTTATTGTTATTGTTATTGATGAAGTGAGTGGCCACGTTATTCAAACTTGCAACGCCACCGTGGGTCCTCAATAGTTACGCCGTTAAAGCTGATCTTTCAACAAACCATCCTCAATAGTTGTTTACTTGTACACTAGGTTGTTCAAAGCTGGGTTAACAAGATTAACAACTTAATGCGCTGAGATGTTGACATAAAATGTAAGAATGCATATAAAGGGTAGTTGCCCACATTACTTAATATCACGGAAACGTGACAGCTGAGGGCCTCCACACAATGAGCATCTCACAAAGAGAGACGTGATGCCATTTAATCTCAACTTGGGAAAAGTTCATTCAAGCTTCCGCGAAAATTCCTACGCCGTGGCTGTAGCACTGCACTTCGGCCATGCACCACTCAATCGCCATTGCCAAGCTCGCCTTGCTCCTCGCCACTGCAGCCGTGTCCCGCGGCTTCTTCGTCGTCGCCCATGCCCATGCGCGGAAGAGCTGCTGGCCGCGCGAGAGGGAAGCGTTGCTGGCCTTGAAGCAGGGCATCAACGACACCGACGGCGTCCTCACCTCGTGGCAAAAACTGCGCCATGACTGCTGCCGCTGGACGGGCGTCGCCTGCAGCAACGAAACCGGCCATGTCACCGAGCTTGACATCGGTCTCAACTGGTTGTTCGGCCAGATAAGTTCTTCCTTGCTTTCTCTCCAGCATCTCGAGTACCTAGATCTCAGCACCACCTCCCTAGTTGGACCAAACGGCAGCAGTGTATTCCCAGATTTCTTGTCTTCTTTGCACAACTTGAGACATCTCGATCTCGCCGGCACGCCATACTCTGGTAGAGTTCCTGCTCGGCTTTCCAACCTTTCAAATTTGGAGTATCTCGATCTTAGTGGGACATCCCTGCATGGTCATGCTCCAGAGTTCTTGTTTTCTTACAAAAACATGAGACATCTCGATCTCGCCGGCACACCATACTCTGGTAGAGTTCCTTCTCGGCTTTCCAACCTTTCAAATTTGGAGTATCTCGATCTCAGTTGGACATCCCTGCATGGTCGTGCTCAGTTCCTGTTTTCTTACAAAAACTTGAGACATCTCGATCTCTCCAACACGCTCTTTTCCGGTACACTGCCGCCTCAGCTAGGCAATCTTTCAAACTTGCGACACCTTGACCTCGGTTATATGCAAAATATACACACAGCAGATGTCTCATGGTTAACTCATCTGCATTTCCTGGAACATCTTGACATGAGTGGCATAAATCTCGGCACTGCCGACATGTTCCCTGTGGCCAACACAATCCCAACTCTCAAGGACCTCATTCTTAGTAACTGTTCCCTTCCAAATGCAAACCAGCCGCTAAAACACCTAAACCTCACAAGACTTGAGTGGCTTGATCTCAACAGAAACCATCTTCGCCATCGAATTGATACGAGTTGGTTTTGGAACATAACAGGCATCACACATTTAGACCTTGATGAAACCTATCTCCATGGTCGATTCCCTGACGCCCTAGGAGGTATGACATCCCTCCAATTCCTATCCTTTGCCTATAACGGCAATTCAGCCACAATGATGGTGGACATGAAAAATCTCTGTGATTTAGAGCTTCTACGGCTTGATGGAAGTCTCGCGTTTGGGAACATAACAGAGTTTTTAAGGAAACTGCCACAATGCTCGTCCAACAAATTCCTCTCCTTGCTTTCGAACCACAACAATATGACAGGAATGCTGCCAGATATGGTTGGGCACTTGACCAGTTTAGAACAACTTTCCCTTTCTAACAACAGCATTACTGGAGCTATACCATCTGGGTTAAGGAATCTTACTAGTTTGTATGGCCTCGATCTCACTTTGAACCAGCTAACTGGCCAGATACCAATGTTACCGAGAAGCCTCACTCGATTGGCCATCTCCATGAACTCCTTGTCAGGACCTTTGCCGTTAGATTTTGGAGCTCCAGATCTTACAGACCTAAGTCTCTTCTCCAATTGCCTTGCTGGTTATGTTCCTAGGGCTATTTGTGAATTGAAAAACCTTAGTTTGTTGGATCTATCCAATAATCTCTTTGAGGGAGAATTTCCATGGTGTTCTGCGATGCCAAGCATGGAATTTCTGATCTTAAGTAACAATAACTTGTCTGGAAATTTTCCATCTTGGATTCAGAACAGCTCACAATTAGTTTTCCTTGATCTTGCGGTGAACAAGTTCTATGGAACGTTACCCATGTGGATTGGAGAATTGGTGAACTTGAAATTTTTGCTGCTAAACCATAACATGTTTTATGGGGATATTCCGGCCAACATCACAAATCTTATACTACTTCAGTACTTCAGTTTAGCAAGCAACAATATCTCAGGATCAATTCCATCGTCCTTGTCAAGATTAATAGCAATGACACTAGAACATCCAAAGCGTGGGACTCGCTGGTATGTTCAAGAGGTCATAAACAAGGACATTTTGTCTGTGGTGATGAAGCGGCAAAATATGAAGTATGACATATATAGAATTAACGAGATGTACGGCATTGACATTTCACTCAACCACTTAACAGGTGGAATTCCAGATGAGATAACTTCTCTTAATGGATTGTTTACTTTGAATTTATCATGGAATCACCTGAGCGGGAAAATTCCTACGAACATTGGGGATATGAAATCACTAGAATCACTCGACTTATCAAGGAACAACCTTTCCGGTGAAATCCCAACAAGCTTGTCAGATTTGACGTATCTAAGCTCCTTGGACTTGTCATACAACAATCTTGTAGGAAGAATTCCGACAGGACGTCAACTTGATACCCTCTACGCCGAGAACCTGTCCATGTACAGCGGCAATAATGGTCTTTGTGGGCCTCCTCTTAAAAAGAATTGCCCAGGCAATAATGATTTAGAGCATGGTGATCAGCAGAGAAGAGAAAGTGGTTATGATCCAGTGGTGTTCTTCTACTTTGGGCTGACGGCTGGCTTTGTGGCGGGACTCTGGATTGTCTTTTGTGCTCTTCTGTTCAAAAGAGCATGGAGGAGTGCTTATTTCCGCCTCTTTGACAAGCTACATGACAATGTGTACGTGTTTGTTGTTGTTACTTGGGGCATGATAACCAGTAAGACAACTACAAGTTAAGAACTGGCGTGCTAATTAAACAAAATAAGGCCGATCATGTACTTGTATGAGTAAATAAGAGTGAGGAAGTATTTAGTAGCTTGTACAAGAATGTGTTTTGTTGAAGATTATAAGCTTGTAATATGTCTTAGAAGTAACGAATATTTTGTTAGGATCATGTACACCAATCTGATTGATTAAGATTCGGTTAGATCTCTCTCTTTCTTGATTCTCAAATATGTAATCCTACCAACATTGTATTCCTGGCCTACACGGCTTTGCCTCTATATTAACATGAAAGCGTGTCGAGGCAAAGGCATAAGCTTCCACAAAACATTATTTGATTGTTCATTATGTGTGCTAACCTGTGAATCTCACCAACTCGAATTCCAGTCTAAAAGCCCCCCGGCAGAACATGTTTCCTTCACGCGATACTACATACACTTAGCTACCGGGCGCGGCCTTCTTTTCCTCAACCGAGTCA